GCAAACTCTGATGTGTCAGTAATGATGTTGGGTTTTACCCCTTGAAGTTTCAGTTCTTTGTAACCTTCTGATACATCTCCCAAACAGGTATGCTTTGTGGACTAAGTCTGAAGCCCTTGCTTTTGTCCTTACCTCAGAAACTGAGCGACATTATCCTTTAGCTCAGATCTTTCTAAGAACTTCCCCTCTGCCATGATTGAAAAGGTCTAACAGAACAAAAAGTAATGCAAGTATTCCTTGATTATAGCTCCTCATATTCCGTTTCAACTTTTAAAAATAAAATCTTTAATTCATCTGGGATGTATTTTAACGTATAAATTTTGGGTTAGGAGTCACTAAAACATTAGCCAATGGTTCCAAAATAATTCCTTGAATAAACCAGCTTTCCCCCACTGATTTGAAAATCTATCATACAACAAAGTTACTGTATATGTGATTATTATGCTAGCTGTCTATTCCTTCATGTTCTCCCTTAAGTTTCACAAAGAAAGGAATTTGCTGCTACAGTTCACCACTGGACCATCAGAGTGATGCTTGGCCCATAAGATTAAATGGCTGAAAAGGGCTTTCCTCCTTTGATCTCGCAATATGATTACTACAGTATTGGTTTTCTAAAGATAAACAAATACTACATTACTGAAGCAAATCTGAACTGATCAGATTGACGATTCTTTCAATATGCTACCAGATTTCATTGTTAGTATTTGACTTAAAAATTTCACATATGTAGTTTTAAGTGAAAGTGTTCTTATAAGAAAAACGAGTATGCCTAGATATGTACTTTGGGGAGGAAAAAACCTTTCTTTTAATTTTATTTTTGTCGTTTTGGTTAAGAAGTCCTTCCCCCAACTCTTAGTCAATTGGCTGGGGAGTAGTTGTTCACCCTATTTTCACACCAGCACTGCTTAACTCCACACTTTATCCTGCCTTCCTTTCTGGCACCGACAATAACACACCAGCATTTTGGGGTTTCCTTGTGCTCTTCCACCTTCCTTCTGCCAAACTGTTGAAACACTTACTGATCACAGATCCCTATTATTGTTAGTCTGTTACATTATTCTTTTTTTGAGGAGTCATAAGCGTCTGGGTTACTACTATATTAACAACTGTTATTCACTATTAATTTCATACCACTTAAATATACTCTATTTACAACTTCTTTCCCTTAATGGGTTTTTTATTCTTATTATTTGTTATGATGTCTTTGCATATATATATATATATATATATATATATATATATATATATATATATATATATTTTCTTACAGTGAACACTAGAGCAGGATATTTTAAGAGTCATTCAATGTCAAAGAGAATGTTTTTGTTGCCCTTTCAAGAAGAGATGCCTCATCTGGCTGTAAAATCTGAGTAACAACCCTTTCCTCTCTAAGGGCTAAGGCGATGAGCCACTGTTTTCACAGAGGGCTACTAAGTGACTAAAGTCAAACTTACCCTCCTCCCCTGGTGCATAACATCCCCCTCACTGCACCCCACCCCATCCCCACATCTGGTGCTTATGATTAATTCATTTTTGAAATGACAATTTGCTAGAATGTGTGTAAGAGTGGATTTTCATTATTACTCTCTTTATTTAACAGCAGCTTTATTGAGATGTAGTTCACTAGTTTCTGACCACCCTGAGCCCTTTAGTTGAGATGATGGTGAAGTTTAATATGTAAGCCCAGGTCATCGTCTCGAACCAGAGGCCCCTCCAATACACCTGAGGCCGCCGCTGCTGCCATTGTAACCCTCCCGTCTGCTCCACTGGCTCCTGCCTTACATTCTTCACACACTCCTGGCTGTCTCATCAGTTCCTCTTCTGTCTCCACAGTTTCGTCATGTCCAGAGCTCAGCCCTCCTCTCCTCTCACCCCCTGGGCCATGCATCCACTTCCTAGCTCCAACTGTCACCTCCGTTCCCGAATACTGTTTACGTAGACATATTCTCCCAGCAGTACCATCTCTACAAGGATATCTGGAAATCTCAGGAGGGTAGATTGAAGAAACACTCCTAGAAGAGACACAACTCTGCCCAGGACCTCTGGTGTGTGACACGTCGATGTCACCTCTGGTGTCCGGCACCATCGTCCACTGAGCTGTCTGCTCCAGAAGCCTGCAAGTCCTCCTCACCAGACTTGAGGACAAGGACAGCGTCTCCCTAGTTTACTACGTATCCCATAGAGGGTCTGACATGTGGCAACACAACAAATACTTGAAGAAATGAATTCAGTCAATCCAGTACATATCCTTCCAACCCTCCCTCTTCTCACCCACGCTGTCAGTACTTAGGTTAAAATCACTATTATTGTCACCAGGCTTACTACCAAAGTCTCCCAGCCTCCAGTCCCGCTTCCCCCAACCCATTCTCCATGCTATAGTCAGAGTTAACTTTCTCAGTAGTCACAGATCAGTTATCATTCCTCAACTTAAGGCCCTTTAAAATCAAACCCAAATTTCTCCACGTAACACATAAATCTAGAACTCTCTTGATGCCCCAAGGCTGAATGAAACATTCATCTCCAGGTTTCCTGGACTTCTCCTGCCACTGAGTCTATTCTGTATCTTAACTGTAGACTTGTCTGTCTCCTCAATGACACTGTCCTCTTCCTTGTACCCCAGTGCCCTGTAGTTCCTGGCACACTGTAGACATTCAGTGAGTACCTGGTGAATGAATGTTTTCAACTATCACCAGTGACCACGAAAGGAGGCAGTAACTTTGGGATTCCATCCTGGGACAGGAATTCCGAACCCAGCTGGGATCCATAAATAGGCACTGAGATTGCATGAACGCCATGAAATTGTACCCAACATTGTATGTGTTTATACATATTTTGAGGGTAGTTTTCAGACTGAAGAGTCCATAATCTGAAAAGTTACTGTTGGGATTTATTTGGTTAGAAGGGAATATTCTAAAGTGTTACAAACTAACAGAAACAAAAGGCAGACACACATGACACACAGACACGCACACAGGGATTGACTTAATGAAAACAACACGTATGGTAAACCTTTTATTGAAAAGGGACAAGAATCAGGGGAGTTAGAGGGCTCCACGAAGACTAAAGAAAAACAGATGGTACCAGAAAAAGGGTTTAGAAAGGCAGAACAGAAAGCGAAAAGGAGCTGGGTCTACTCTGCCGTTGTATACCGGGCCTTTGGGCAGCCAGCGGGTGAAAGGCTGGCTCGTCACAAAGGACCTGTGTCTGCAGATCTCTGTATAATTTTGAACACTGCAAACTTCAGCTTGTCATAACGCTGCCAAAGTGCAGGACAGTCTGTGCTACTGAGCTGGCTGTCTTTTTAGCTCTGTCCAGTGAATACCGGTCTAGACTCTGACCTTCAACAGGAGAAAAAGAAAGAGGAAGACCATGGCCTGGCTGACGGGAAAGATGGGCAGGGAGAGGGGCAAACACGCATTGCTTCTCAGGTGACCATCTTTCTCTGGCTCCTTCTACTCCTCTGTCTTTATTTAGAGCTGTCCATGGACTTCCCCAGGTGCAGGAACCTTGACAAATACCATGTACTTCGGTAAAATGAGAAGAGGCATGAAAGGTCTGAAAATCACAGGTAGTTTTGAGAGTTGTGGGTATTTTTTATAAATGTTGATAACTGTTGGTCCTCTCACCCTTAATTAAATATTTAATGAAGGAAGTGAATAGGATTTTTCCCTTTTTGGTAATTCCTTACGTCAGCATAAACATACTATACCTAGTTTGCTTTAGGAAATGCTAACTTCTGTACCATAGGCAGCTGTTACTAGTTCACTAAGCAGGGGTGAGTACTTCAGCAGTGGTACAAGGCTTGGTTTTGACTGTTTCGATGCTACCTCGCCTGATTTCCACCACTGTAGAGGCCACAGTGTAGCTAGTGAGCTTATAGCCAAGAATCTGGTGTGAAATAAGCCTTACTCACCTGGGGGTGAAACGGGGACCCTGTCCTCCTTAGCATCACCCTTCACCCCAAGAAAATGAAAGCCAAACAATGGTGAATTTGGTCAAAAGGACTAAAGAACTCACTGAATGGTTAACCAGCACCTAAATAATCAAGAATGGTCCATAACCACCTGTCTAGCAATTCAGTCCCATGTCACAGCACAGAGAGCCTGCAGTGACACAGGGACAGTGGCCTCACCAACTTATTAGACAAATAATCCAAAGGTGTCTTATTTTGCTGCAGAATTCCAACTGTATAAATGAACCTAACTGTGATTGTTTAAACAATCGTTTTTTAGGAACCAAGTTTGTAAAAAAAAAAAAAAAAAAAGTCTTTTCAAGATTTTATATTTACCTATCCCAGTGGTCAGGCAAACTGCGGCTCTCAAGGCACATACGGCTCTTTGGCCCCTTGAGTGTGGTTTTTCCACAAAATACCACATGCAGGTGCATGCATACATACAGTGTGATTGAAACTTCGTGGCCCATGCACAGAAGTCAGTTTTTGGCTCTCAAAAGAAATTTCAATCGTTGTATTGTTGACATTTGGCTCTGTTGACTAATGAGTTTGCCGACCTCTGCCTTACCCTATCTGAAATTTTGGTGAGGTCCTAAACTATGACTAGAAGAGAGATTATTTCAAATCATAGTGACAACTGAGGATTACCCTATGTAAATTCCTGGTAAATTTATGGTGAAATTTAATAGTCAGTTATTCTGGCTGGAGGTTGGAGTGAAAGAGGAAGAATAGAAAGGGGGAAAAATTGCTGATTAAAAATCTCACTGCATAGTCGACTTATTTGATGCAACAGTTAATTTTTTAAAAATTCCAGGATTCACTGAGGGTTTTGCGGTTATCTACTCTGATGTCCTTTTTGGCAAGGAGACATGTTCATGATTTCTTGAAATCTGGTGCCAGGCCAGTTGTGTTCACAGACCAGTTGAACATGTTGCTGAGAATGTGTGCTTTATTGTCTCTGCAGCAGTGTGTGAGGCCTGAAACCCTTTTAAGTGCATGTGTTTGAGGAAAGAGAGGAGGATGAGAATGGAAGAAAAAATTCTATAACCTCGTTCATTGCCTGCTCTACTTGCATCCTTATCCTTAATCTTGTCCACCTCACTGTGTCCTCCATCTTCTTTACGTTTCCCTGCTGCAAGAGAGACCAGGTTAGGAAGTGACCGAGTATGTGCGAGGATCAAGGCTGACAATGAGATAAGCAGAAGCGAAGCCACAAGAGATGAGAAGCAGAAGGGGAAATGAGTCTTTGGAGGGCATCTACAGTATAATTTTCCATTCATCTATACAGGTGTGAAATTTGCAAAGCCAAGCAAATAATACTCACCAGAGGAGAAGGATCTATTGCACTGAGTTAATATATGGTGTTCTCTAACTGAGAGAAATGTGCATGCACATCATTAAGATGTTCTCAGCACACCACTTCTGAGAAGATTTCTCGTGCGTGAAGTGTGGAATGGACAGGAGACGGAGCAGGAGGACAGCAGGCCACTCCAACAGATGCCCACAGTGTAGCATCTACCTTGATGAGCCTTGCAGACTGATACCCGACCTCACTGACTGCACCCAGGAATGCAGACTCATGCTAACAAAACTCACAAGATACTGATGTATAAAATCAAAACAGAAGAAAGAAAGCGATTTTATTATTAACAGTGACAAACAGAGGACTCGGGTACACTGATGTCGGTATTGGCCGGAGTGAATTTCGTTGTGGGGAGGCCAATTGCCAGAGAAAAGCTCGGTGCACATGGAGATGGCGAGTGGAGTTCACTGCAGGATTCCAGTGCAAATGGCATAAGGCTCTGCAGCTCCACCCAGGGCCACCTGCCTGCCAGGCAGCGCGGGTGCTGGCCTCCACCGGCAGGGCTATCGGTCAGAGTGCTTTGCAAGGTATCAAGACAATTACATTAACAGCTTTTGCCTTTCTCTGCTTTGGAGGCAGAGAAAGTGCTCTTCTGATGGAAATTTGGTGTGTGTGTGTGTGTGTGTGTGTGTGTGTGTGTGTGCGCGCGCGCGCGCAAGATGCCAATGCCCTCAATTAGTTACAGTCAAGCCTTACTGCCAAGGAGTCTTCATGTCTGCTAAAATCACACTGCCTCTCTTGGATTAAATTTGTTAGGTCGGTGTTCATTTCTCAGTTTAATTTTTAGAGAGTGTTTTCGCTTTCCTGTTTTCTGGGACCCAAAGGGGGCACTGCAAGGCAGACTCCACATTTGCCTACAGGTTCCACAAAGTGTCACTCAAATTCAAATCAACCTGTTTTTGCTGTGCCAACTTTATGCCCACTGCTGTGCCAGGCACAAAATAATTCTCAAAATGCATAATAAGAACCTCTAAGGAAAGGTTGTACCTACTGGATGCCTACAGCCCTAGGTTCTCCTTAAGGTACATTTATTCATTCATTTTCCTCTAGTACTTACACACCCTCTACTGTGTACCAGGATTTACTAAGTACAAGACATGCAAACATACACATGACACCATCCTGCTCCCTTTAAGAGCTTATAATCCAGCAAAAGAACGACGTGTTTTTCTAAAGGAACTGATCCAAGTGGCATGGAGTATGCTAAAGGAGGGCTTTAGGGGCCGAGACAGAAGCCACATCTTTTTAAAATCATATTTTTAAAAACATACTAAATAAAAATGATTATTAAAAAAATTAACAACAGTTAATTTTGAAGCACAAAATATAAATTCCTTCCTTGCTACTCCCAACCCTTTTCTGCCTCTCAAGGTTGCCCTCAGTAGTTTGTGAATACTCTTCTGACCTTTTCCTCTGTATGAAACACACATACACATTTATACATAAACACAAATTTATATATTTACTGTATCAACATGTAAAATTTATGTCACACATCCCATTTATATAATACACACATACACATGCACACAGGTGTGGGATGATACTATATACTAGTATATTGTCCCATAACTTGTCCTTTTAGTTGTAAATTATAACATGTGTATAGAAAAACACATAAAATAAATATGCTCAGTTTGGAAAACAAATGACCCAGGATAGCCACTACCACTAAGTCAGTAAGTAGAAAGTTCTGAGTATCCCACAAACAGAAACCCACCCCTTCCAAAACCATTATTTTGAAATTTATGGTAACCATTTCCTAGTTTTGTGTAGAGTTTTACTACTTATCTTCAAATTTACATACATCAGAAAATGCCCTCAAGGCAAAAGCGACTTCCACTCTCTAAGCCTCTCTGAACTCTCACTTTTCCTCAAGTTTGGCCTTTAATTTCTTCTCTTTTCAGCCCTTTGTTGCTCTGAGGATATCTTCTTATACATACTGAACAGTTCCAATTATTTTCAGCAAGAGGATTGTTCAAATAACCTACCTAGCCCTAGTTGGTTTGGCTTAGTGGATAAAGCGTCAGCCTATGGACTAAAGGGTCCCAGGTTCAATTCCGATCAAGAGCACATGGCCGAGTTGCAGGCTCGATTCCCAGTAGGGGGTGTGCAGGAGGCAGCCAGTTAATGATTCTCCTTCATCACTAATGTTTCTATCTCTCTCTCCCTCTGCCTTCCTCTCTAAAATCAATAAAAGTATATTTTAAAACAAAACAAAACAAACAAACAAACAAACAAAACCCAAATAACCTACCTAGCCATATTTCCAGCAACAGAAATCTGTGTCACTTTTCAATATTTTCATTGTGTTACAGTTATGTGGATAAAATTAGATTCTTATCCACTATATCCCAACTCCTTATGGGTTATAAAAGGCAAACATCTTTCATTTCCTACAGCACAAATGTGAAATATGCAGTAAATGCAGAAAGAGAAAAGAATAAAGAAATTGAAAAGAGAATGAATATGTTATCAGTAGTCCTGCCCTTGAAGAGTTCCCATTTTCATTTGTGAAGGGAGATAAGATGTATATGCATGAAATAATATGACATGAAACAATTTGAGGCAATAAAAAGAGATATTTGAATGAAATCCCTTATACCATATTCACTGACATGAAAAAATTCCAAGATATACTGTCAATGAAAAACCAATTGTAGGATGGTATCTGTGTATAAAATATATATCTACATTTATCTCCCTGTGTGTCAACAGGTGTGTCCGCATATATGCATCCATGAAAGGTCCCATTTATGCACAGAACTCTAAAGACACACAACAGTGGGTACTTCTACAAATTAGGGTTGACAAGTCAGAAGTTACCTTTTTACTTTCAAATATCTTATATAATTTTTAACATGGAGCATATATTGCTTTTAAGAAATATTATGTTTATTGATTTCAGAGAGGGAAAGATAGAAACATCAATGATGAGGGGGAATCACTGATCAGCTGCCTCCAACATGCCCCACACTGGGGATCAAGGCCACGACCCACGCATGTGCTCCAACTGGCATCGAACCATGATCTCCTGGTTCACAGAGCGATGCTCAACCACTGAGGCATGCCGGCCAGGTGAAGCATTTATTACTTTTATAGATAGGAGGAACTTTAAATTATATTCAAGAGCAAATGTATGTGACAAAGGAAATCAAGAGGAAAAAACAGGAAGATAGAAATTCCTGGAGAAGACCTCTTTGAAAAGGTAGGAGTTGGAGTGGGCACTGCAAGACTAGTTTAAATGAAGAGCACAAAGGTGGGTGAGGTGGGGGCGTGCTTTGTTTTGAGTAGACTTTAGGGAGGAAATGCGGATAGTACCTGAAGAGGACTGAAAGGAAGTTCACCTGGCTAAAGATAAAACCAGCTGACATTGAGATATATGATTAAAGGGACAAAACAGCCATAGCATACTAGTAAAATGTAGAATGTCATCAAAATTAAGAGCTTATGATTGCTTTGATGAGAAATAGAACGACCTGAACAAGGTCGTACTAGGAGATAATATTAATCTCATGGGTTGAGTTTGTGCAGAATAAGCTCAAACATGAAAAATCTCTGGTAATTTATAAAGTGCTACATCAATAATTGTAGGTTTTATTAAGTAAGTTATTACACTGAGAGGCCAGATTATTATGCATTCAGAGATCATAATAATCTGGCCACTCAGAGTGTGTGTGTGTGTGTGTGTGTGTGTGTGTGTGTGTGTGAGTGTGTGTGTGTGTGTGTGAGTGTGTGTGTGTGTGTGTGTGTGTGTGTGTGTGAGTGTGTGTGTGTGTGTGTGTGTGTGTGTGTGTGTGTGTGTGTGTGTGTGTGTGTGTGTGTGTGTGTGTGTGTGTGTGTGTGTGTGTGATATATATTAGAGGCCCAGTGCATTATTTCATGCATGAGTGGGGCCCAGCCTGCCTGGCCTGGGGGAGGGGGCAATTTGCATATTAGCCTTTTACTATATAGGACATACACAAAGTGGCCAGATTATTATGCATTCAGAGATCATAATAATCTGGCCACTCAGTGTATATTACAATTACATTTTAAGGAGACTATCTTGGTATTCTTGTATAAAATGCATTATGGGGAAGAAAGACTCAGAGCAAAGACATTTCCTTAGCAATATAACATACTTGAAAGAGCTTGGCCAGTTTTTACAACCTGAAAAAAATTCAGATAACTTCCAACCTCCCAGGATTGCTGCAGGGATTAACTGTAAGGTCAAAATACATTAGTCCATTTCTTCTCAACTGCAATTATAATCCAGAGGCAGGCTGATAAAGATCAGAACTGATGCCCTGATCACAGGAATGGAAAAGGTGAAACCAAGAGATTTTTCTAAATAAATAACCTGTAAAGATCTATTCATTAGATGTAGGGAATGAATGAGGGAAAGATGGAAATTTCCGGGTGTCCAGCAGGGGAGGCCTGGGGAAGGGTCTGGACATCTGGAAACTGAGCTACCTCTGTGATCCACGTTTTGGGAGTCATGTCACTGACCACATGAGTTTCACCTCCTCCATCTCTGTTACTACTGACCCACAACCCCCTCACCCCCATTTGGGTCTGGTGCAATCTCATTGTATTAGTGTAAATATGGCTTGAAATAGTTTAAACTCAAAGTACATTTATATTCATTTTATTTTGGAAAATTACTTTCAGGAATGCATAAAAACTTTGAAACAATGCTAACATGCAAAGTTACTGACTATTTAATAGTTGCAGTGAGCAAAATTTAGCAATGCTTTGTAAAAAAATTCAAAACAAACTCCACGTTT